TAGAGGGATGCATCACATTGATGATGAATATTGGGATTGGAAATTAAAACCAGAGAAGTAAACTATTAATTAGATTAAGTATAATTATTTATAGTATTCTTAGTGACATGACTACCATATAGATGTTTTAAGTATAATTATTAAATATAATTTCTTAATAATTTAGATAGTATTCTCTAATTTTTTGGATATATAACTACCATATAATTGGTATTTTTAGATATAATTTATATCTGTTGTGCATGATTTCATTTGAAATTTTGTGTTATTATAACAATTATATAATACTTTTAAACTCAATAGTGTTTTAGATAAAATATTAAATATCTTATGCTATTACTATTTAATTATTTTATAACATGTAATAGCTTATTAAATTATTTTGTATTATTTAATATTATTAGCTACTATTTTCCAATATTTTTGCTATATCTGGCCAAGTACCCATTCTAAATGTGTTTTCCTGTTGTTCAAAGAAATTGCAATGCTCAAGTGTAGGTGTTGATACTATCTTGAAAGTGTCGACACCTCTTATTGACAATATCCTTAATAACTTTGTGTTGTGTTTTCAACCTTGAAATTTTAAACTAAAGTGTCAATACCTAGAGTTGTCCAACTATGTTTTTTTTTTCTCCCTAGGTGTAATTGCCAAATCATTCAAATTTTATGACATGAAAATAGCTTGTTAGTTTAACTGAGTGGAGTTGGATGAAAGTTGATGGAGGGATAAATTTAGTATAAAAATTTAGAGTTACAAGATAAAAAGTTCATAATAGAGTCAAGGGATAAAATTGATGCAAAACACTTTGTCAGGGTGTGTTGGTGATGTAAGATGATGAGCTAGTAGCGAAAATGATGTGGAAGCTGATTAGGATGACACCTAGAATGATAAGGAGGGTCCTTTTGGTAGCACCTGTTTCACGTGCGAGGGCTAGGTGCCATGGGTCGTTTCATCCTGTCTAGCAATGTTGATCAACAGTAAATTCTCTAATAAAGCCTAAAAGTATAAATTTTCTAACTAAGCTAAGAGGGGGAGAGCTGAGCAAGAGCGATGGGATTTCAGGAGCCAAGAATGATTACACAACTACCAAAACACATGCAAAAAAGATGTACATTGTGATGGGAGCATTAAGGATGGTGAATATATGAAGATCAAAGATTACAACTTGAGAAGCACATTTATACATAGAATATTGCAAGATAATAATAATGACAAAATGTGCTCTTTATTATTCCTAGCAAATACTCTTACTCTATAATGAACAACCCTTATGTTATAAACATAAAATACAGCAACCCTTCCTTTGAAGCTTTCTCAAGAACAAATGAAATAAACTTGAAAGTAGCGGTGGGAAAATGAGGGATGACCATTTGGGGGCTTATGAGTGGAGTGGCTTAATCTCGTTTCTTGATGCTAACTTCTCAACTTGACCCTTTGATGCTCAAGAAAAATTACCCAAAAGTTGAAACTGAAGTATGCCACCTCCAGTCATGGTATTTTGCAAGTTTGGAAAATTATTCTACAGTGCTAGAAGTGAAGAAAATATGAAGAAAATGGTGATTTTGAGTGATTTTGGTGTGTAAAGTGGGTGATTGAGGATGAAATGTTTTTCAGAGAAAGAAGGTTTGGTGTGTGAAAGGGAAGCTAGAATTGTGAAGATCTAGTTTGGTCTCCTCTAATTTGCTAAAAAATGAGGGAAAAATAATATGTGTGTGTGTGTGTGTGTGCATTGCCATTTTTGTAATTTTTGAGTTAATAGGCTAGAGCAGCCCAACAACCTAACGAGTAAATGTGGGTGACCTGTCAAGTTTTTTGTGGTTTTGGGCATTGTTGATAGTTTTTTGGCAATGATATCACGAATTACCCAGTGGTTCCAACAAAGTACCACTGATTCTAGCAAAAGACTAGAGATTGTCCATTTCTAATAATTCTTCCAGCCATACAAATTCTATTTTTGGGAGGGAACTTGAGTTTAGCCAGCAAAAATAAATCTTGCACATGATTTTGGTAGATTCCTTAAGGTCTGCCTAGGATTTTGATGGATTTCCCAAACAAAATGTGATATTTTTTAATAGTTTCCAATGTGGTGAAACTTGTGCAGCCACCTTTGCATTGAATGTAGCTGCAAGTTACTGATGGTAACCAAAACAGCATCTCTAGTTAGTTTTTAAGGAGATTTCAAGGTTCTAGTTAGCATCAAAAAGCATAGTTTTGTGGATCAGGTCTTTTTCCACATCTCCACCACCTAGCCCTTTGTGATGAAGTTGGGCAACATCACCATCTCCAAGCTTGGCTATCACGAATACCTCACTTCGTTGGATGGGCAACATTCATCCATCCATGCCTGCCAAGCCATTACTCCCATAGTTTATCCCAAATAATTCCCATGAGTTTAGATTCATGGGCTTGTGTTCATCTATAATAAGAGCAAGATATAAATGAGTACTTGTTTAAACATATAAGTGTAAAATGTATGAATATATGCAGTGAAGAAGGGCACGCCTTTGTGTGTTAAAGGAGATGACAAGGATTAACATTGCTGCACCCTTTTATCCACTGGCCATGGTAAGCACTTTTATAATGTTGTTGTCTATAGCTAGTGTTACACGAAAACGAGGAATGATAGTGTGGATGCGTGTTGTAATATCGTTGTCCCAAGCCAAGAATTGTTGGTTAGCAATACCTACTAACACGTAAAATATAGAAGAAATATGTTATGAGTCGGGATTACCAATGATTGGTAATTTTGTCCCTTTGTATGAAAGAATGATGATGTGCATGGCCGTTAGCCATGCTATATAAATATCGCAAGATTAGCCATGAACAGCTTTCCCATAGCCAAAGGGGCATCAGTGGCTAGCTTTGCCCATGGTTGGAGCATGAACTATGTGGAATTGAGAGAGCACTTTCCCTAATTCGCCAAGTTGCAAAGGGGTAAATCTCATTAAGCCAAACTCTGCCATAGCGATAAATATGTGATAAAGAGAAGTGGAGTTGTCTTCATGGAAAGGGGAGACTAGCCACTTCCATGGCCTTCGATATAATAAGGTGTGATACCATTGACAAACAATAGCCCTTCTTGTTGTACCCACATTGTCAAAGGGTGGTCCTGGTTGTTGTTGCCCACCAAGCATCACCCCCCATGCACAAGCGACCATCAAGGGACTACTGGCTGCTACTTGATGGATTTTTATCGCTAGGGTAGCCATCTTGTCCAAGCATGGGGTTGCAACTGTTACCAGCCTCACGCTAATCTTACTGATTGCTCTGTCTCTTTGTCTGTTTTTGGGAGCTAATGAGATGAAATATGTAGAGACTCAACCCTTTGTCCATTGCCAAGGGCCGATGTAATGGAATATATAAAAATGTGTAGCTTTTTACCCACTGCTGGAAGCTAAATAAGATAGCAAGTTTGGCCTTTTATCCATTGTTAGGAGCTATATGGATATAGCCCGTTATCCATTGATGGGAGCCATATATGTGTAACAAACTAGGTTTTTTATCCATTGCTAGGAGCCAAAAGAGGTGGGTATGAATATCGCTGCAGAGAACACGACCATCAAAAGCGTCTAGCCATGTCATAGAGATAGACATAGTCGTGTCTGGCCATGTATATAGATATAGATGTTGGAGTGGGTTGTATGTACAATATTTCCAACAAAGTTGATGAACACCGTTCCTAACAATACTGACTCTATTGCAGTAATTAGCAGAAAATAGAAACAGCATGTATGATGTGGAAAATAGATCATGTGAGCCCTATTACTGATGTAGAGCTACACACGTCATTAATCTTAGAAAATACAAATTCATCCCTCAACACACTCGAGTTAAAGGATTAAAAAAGAGATTAAACAAAAGTTTAAAAATAAAAGTTTCTCGAACCGAATAGACCCTAAGGATCTATTTAATTACCCTTTTTCAAAAGACATTTTTGAGCAAGCTAACATTTTTTTCGAACTGGCTAAGCTTTAGAAAATAAACTTTCAAACACAAAAATCTAAATTACATACAAGTGGCTAAAAGAGAAATGAAAACCGTTATTTTGGATGATAACCCATTATAGATTAATATAAGCGACGATACTAGGCAGAAGAATAATGGTAATTAAATTATATTAAAATTTAAGACCAAAATTTAGAATAATAATATGATATAAATTATGTCATTTAAATTATTAAAAATTAGATTTTATATTGTTTAATAATTAATTCTTTTTATTTTTTTAAGACTCATGATGTTACATATATTAATTAATTTAATAATATAATTTATATTATGTCATTAGTTTTAAATTCTCATTTTAAATTTTCATTTCAAATTTTTATTCTTTTTATCATTACTCGAGGCAGGATGCATTCCTTGATAAAAAATCTTGGATATAGGGTACATAAATGATTATTATTATTTTAATTAGTTAGATTGCATTTTAAGAATCAAGGTAAGAAATGAGTATTGCTATTTTATAAAATATATTAACTTTCTATATGCTCCCTTTGTCCCAAATAATTATTATTTTTATTTTTTCTTTAAATTAAAAATTTTAAAATAATTTACATATTTGCTTTTATTATTATTAGAAAAAGTTAAAAAACAAAGTGAGACTTTTGTTTATAAAATAGTTAATTTAAATAAATAAATAATAATAAAGTTAAAGATAAAATTTTTTTTATCTATTTAAAAAATAAAAAATAATAATTAATTTTAAACACATTTGAAATAAAAAAAATGAGACTTATTTTGCAATAAAATAAGTATTATTTTCTCAACTGCTTTTTTTAAAATAACTTTTATAGTAAAATTAACTTCTCAACAAAGCGGCCAAAGTTTAGAATGAAAAATAAATCATATTTCTTTTTCCTATAACTCCTCCTTGCTCCTCCGAAAAATTCTAACATGAGGTTTTTAATATTAAAATTTAAGTTTTCAATTGTTAAGACATTTTAGAAAATGACAAGACTAGGCTCTATATATACGTAGGAGATTATACATTTGGGCACCCACACTCTCTTTTCATTTATCCGGTCTCCTCCGTTTATGTTTGCCCAGAAGCCCTTCATAGATTCTACCGGTCTTTCAGCATCCGTTTCCAACTTCCAACAAGTAAGCTTCTGCAATATTCCTTAAACAAAAGCATCAATTATTGTCTCGCTACTATACGATCGTCAAGTGGTTTTTTTAGTTTCTTAATCGACAAAGCAAATTAATCAATTTTTTTTAAAACGGTGAAGAGATAATTTTATTAATTAGTGGTATATTTGGATACTCTATTAAGAAAATTTTCAGGTTAAAATCTATACCTTTCTTTCTTCAGGGGATGGCGGAAGCCCCTCGGTCAGCTGAAATTGAAACAAGTTGCGATGTAACAATTGCTATACAAAGCGACCGCACAAGCAAGGAGCAGAAAATCCTCAGAGTGCCTTGCCAACTAATTGAGGTAAATAAAAAAGCCTATGAACCTTATGTCATTTCTACTCTGAATTTCCGACAGTTTATATAGTTTCTTAATTGACAAAGAAAATTAATTAATTTTTTTTTAAAACGGTAAAGAGATAATTTTATTAATTAGTGGTATATTAGGATACTCTATTAAGAAAATTTTGAGGTTAAAATCTATACCTTTCTTTCTTCAGGGGATGGCGGAAGCCCCTCGGTCAGCTGAAATTGAAACAAGTTGCGGTGTAACAATTGCTATACAAAGCGACCGCACAAGCAAGGAGCAGAAAATCCTCAGAGTGCCTTGCCAACTAATTGAGGTAAATAAAAAAGCCTATGAACCTTATGTCATTTCTACTTTGAATTTCCAGCAGTTTATATAGTTTCTTAATTGACAAAGCAAATTAATTAACTTTTTTTTAAAAAACGATGAAGAGATAATTTTATTAACTAGTGGTATATAAGAATACTCTATTAAGAAAATTTTGAGGTTAAAATCTATACCTTTCTTTCTTCAGGGGATGGCGGAAGTCTCTCAGTCAGCTGAAATTGAAACGAGTTGCGATGTAACAATTGCTATACAAAGCGACCGCACAAGCAAGGAGCAGAAAATCCTCAGAGTACCTTGCCAACTAATTGAGGTAAATAAAAAGCCTATGAACTTATGTCGTTTCTACTCTGAATTTCCAACAGTTTATATAGTTTCTTAATCGTCAAAGCAAATTAATTAATTTTTTTGACGGTAAAGAGATAATTTTTTTAATTAATTATAAGGGATACTTCATTAAAAATATAATTGAGGTTGAATCTATGCCTTTCTTTCTTTAGGGGATGGAGGAAGTTTCTCAGTTAGCTAAAACTGAAACAAATTGTCATGTGTCAATTGCTATACAAAAGGACCGCCCAAGCATAGGGCAGAAGCTGAATTTGGATTGGAAAAAGCCAAAACAGAAAATCCTCAGAGTGCCTCACCAACTGTTCAAGGTAAATGAAAAGGCCTATGAACCATATGTCATTTCTATTGGTCCATACCATCGCGGTAAAGATCACTTAAAGGAAATGGAAGGACAAAAGGTGCAATCTTTAAAATGGCTTCTTCAAAGGAATACATATCAAAGTGTTGAAACGTATCTATCAGAAATAAGAAATATGGAGAAAGAAATTCGTAATTGTTATTCAGAACCTTTAGATATTTCCAAGGAAGAATTTGTTGAAATGATGGTCCTCGATGGTTGTTTTATTATTCAGTTTTTTACGAAAAACTTGGGCGATTCTTTCTGCTACTCCGGTCTCATCTATTCAAGCATTTTACATGATTTGGTTCTAGTTGAGAATCAACTTCCCTTTTTTGTACTACTAAAGTTATTGAACATAATCTCATCTAAATTCCCAACAGTGGTCTTCAACATGGTGGGTGTTACAGATCCAAGAAGCCATTTTATCCGTAAAGTACTTAAAAAGTTTAAAAAAGATATGCCAGGGCTTACGGTTGACCGAACCTATAATGACGATTCGATACAAGAAGTCGAGCATCTAGTACACTTATTACACTCCAATTGGCGTCCTTCAAAAGAAGCAACGGATGAATACGATAAGCAGACAAAAGATTGGAAATGGCATTTCATGATACCTTCCGCTACAGAACTAAGAGAGGCAGGAATTGAGTTCCAAGTGGTTGAGACAGAAGGGGATAATGTTAAAAGGAGCTTATTTGATATCAAGTTCAAAAACGGGAAACTAGAGATGCCAGCTGTGACTATTGAAGATGGCACGGAGAGCTTGTATCGTAACCTCATTGCCTGTGAACAGTTTGACAATTCGGAGCCGCGATACTTAACTGAATATGTTAAACTCATGGATTGCCTAATCAACTCAGGGAAGGATGTGGAGTTACTTTGTAAGAAAGAGATAATTGTTAATTTTTTAGGCGATCATGAAACAGTTGCAATATTGTTCAACAGGCTCGGAGATCATACTAATTTATCCAAAAAAAATTTCTTTTATGCCCAGTTATTTAAGGATGTCCACAAGCATTACAAAACACCCTGGAATAAACGGAAAGCAAACTTAAGGCACAATTATTTCAACACTCCGTGGGCTTTTATTTCCTTTCTTGCTGCAACTTTGTTGCTTTTACTTACAGTGCTCCAGACTTCATTTACAATTTTCTACCCGTCATGAAATTTGGAAGGGCAAGAGACCCAAGATCAAAAGTGAATTTGCAAGTGTTACGTAGACTAGTAGAAAGGCTTTGCTAAATTTTGTTTTCTGTAATTACCTTGTTGTATTGTACTGTATCTTGCTTTTTAAGATGATTGTACTGTTGTCACCGTGTTTTCTTTAGGTTTATTTGTATTGTACTGTATCTTGCTTTATAAGATGACTAGCCATTTCCTTTGGCTGTCTCTGGTCAACACTAACTGCTTGGAATTCATTCAACTAGTTGGATAAGCCCACGTCGCGGGGTGTAGTGTCAGGTGTTACTTTGAATGCACCAATTTTAATGAATACATAAATATTTTAATTTGTAAAGTTATCCATCAATATAACATATGTTGTAGTTCTAAAGCTTTCACAAAAATAATAATTTATAAATTCAAATCGAGAAGAGAGAATTATGTGCAAGACTTTTAGATTTCATGAATTTTTATTTTTTTAGTTTTGTTAAAAAAAAAAGAGTAAACAAGAGAAAATAATAGATGAAATAATGAGAGGAAAAATGGCTCAACTAAATATAGAATAATAGCCATAATAAAACTATCACATATTTAAGGTCAAAGTTTAAAACTTTCGATTACACACAATCAAATCACTCAATTGAGTTCAGTATCCAATATGATGCAGTTCTTACTTAAAATTCTCATGTCTTAAATATTTCCCAAAAAACATATTTTCAAATTGCATAAGGCATATCAACCACAGACTCATAAAACAATGTTAATGCTAAATGGTGAAGTCCATTTTGTTGTGTATCTTGCGTGATTCCTTCATTTATTAGGTATGTCAAATGTAAGCCATAGTAAACAATTGAACGAATTGAAATAAATTCTACTTGGCTTTGTTCGTGGCTCCTTTCATGAATATATGTAAAATTAAACTAAACGCTACTTACTCTACGCATGGTTCCTTTCATGAATATATTTATCACTATAAATTAAGGTAAATCTACGATGGTAAGATTGCATCAAACTAATATAGAACAAATAAGCCAAGCTAAGCTATAACTTGTCGCATGAGGTAAGCAAAGAGGGTAGGGTCTAAAAGTATGTTTCTTTCTAAGCAAGCTAATTCGGTACGTGCAATCCCACACAGATGTTAAACCCTTTTCAGTATCATTGAGATAGGAACAACTTGAATCTGATATCAATACATGAGACCAGAAGTACTCAGCACTTGAATTAAAACCAGTAGCAAATTCTAAAATTGAATTGCCCAGTTGCAACAAAGAGGCAGATTTTAGATCTTTCCATAGCTATGAATTCAAAACCGTAAAAGTTGTTTGTTAATACAGCAATTCCATTCAAATTAAACTACTTTACCTTCTTGTTGAACTCAAGCATAAGTTCAGCTAGATGGGTACATAATGATGGCCTAGTTTTAGACCCAAAATAACTTTTAATACTCATCCATGTTAAACATGCTGAAATGAAAGAGGTGAAGTAATAAATTTGTAGTACCAACATAGCTACTTCTATTCCTGTAGTGTGGGAACTTGATGAACCAGTTTTGCAAGAACACCAGATTGTCCTTAGCTGTAATAACAAACACATCAAAAAAATATTTTAGAATAAGAGAACACAAATTGGGAAAAAATAAATAAATAAACAAAAATAAAAACAAAGGATTAAAGAATTCAAAAATTTCCCAACCAGTGTCCTCTCTCTTCTCTTCATCTATATATAGACGAATCCTACTTTCTCAAGACTATCAATAAAAAAAAATCGTACTTTTATTTCTCTTCTCATTAGATTATGACCTAGTTATTATTGCGGTACTCTCTAACACACATTTAATAATCTCTCCCTTTCTCTTCTTTTTCTCTCTTCACACATTCAAAGCACCATGATGCTGAAAACCAGCAAATGAACAACCAAACTTAAGGTTAAGTTTAGGGTTAAGCTTGAAGTATTTTTAAATTGTCGTGCTTGATGATGGACAGTAATGAGGCACTTGAAAGCCACTACTGTGCCGTTTGTGATCTAGAAAATGAAAGAAACTGATACTTTGCACAAGTTATAAAATGAACAACATAGCCAAAGAGAAAAATAGGATCTATTTCATCAAGTTCTCTTCCATAATCTAGAGGCTTCAATTCAGATTCAAAATCATTAATCTAGTGAAAATCCTCATTCAACGACTCTCTAGCTTAGAGCCTCAAAGACAAGTTTCTATCCCCACAAAATCAATGGAATCCAAGCAGTTTACCAGGATTAAAAAATAAAAATTAAAAGACATGACAGTTTAAAGAGAGAATCTAATTTTCAAAGATAACTTTTTTATAGATTTGAGCTAGTACATTTATGACATGGATGTTTAGAGCTAATTTCGAGGATGCACATCCAAAATGAATAAATGCTGACCATTTTCATTATACTTACAAGCTTCTTCATATAATCCATTAAACGAAACCAAAAAAAAAAAATAAAAATAGAGAAAAAAATCCACAACCATTACTTGGTAATAGTGCTAACAAAGAATTGTAGAATGATAGCAAAGAAGCAAGGGTCTTTCAGTACCAAATGCTATGGAAAGAAGTTAAAAAAACCACTACAATTGCAATTTTTCTAGAAAATTTTAAGGAAAGAGAAAAAAATGTTATCATATTAAACCTCAAAATCAAAATTAACCAGCCAAATTAACATTTTATCCACCTTACATGGTCATTAAAAAGACAAATTGAGGAGAAATGATAAGAACAACGACCTTATTGACCTCCACCTAACTGTTGGCAATCATTAAAGTGCAAGTTAGCCATGAAAAAAAAAAAAAAGGGATGAAATATGAGAATGGATCTAGAATAAGAAAAGATCATATCAAAGAAGAAAAAAGAAAGCCAGCCTCTAGCAAGCGCGAATGAAAGATGACAATTCATGTTTCTAATCCCATCGTATGACAAAAAAAGACAAACCTAAAACTTAAAAACCAAAATTGCTTGGCATCAGCAAGTGCAAGAGCAGATCCAGCAGTATGGCAAACTCTGAAGAATGCACCTTGAGCCATAAATCGAGAGCTCTGAAAGATCTGGAATTAAATCCTGATAAAATCAAAGTATGAATGGCAATGATATGCGCATGAAATCTTGTCATTCTCATTGTGATTGCAATATACATATATACAAACTGTCAACTATAATCAAGTCTAAATCAGTGATTCATTCTATACAGGGAATGCATTTACTGGTATGACCAGCAAAATATCAGAGATTATATCAGAGATTAATGTTGATTGATTGACTTCCTTATTCATCTCCTTGATATCCGGCTATACTCCCCCTCAAGTTGGAGCATGAAGGTCTCTAATGCCCAACTTGCATAATAGGAAATGAAGTCGTTCCTTGCCTAATGCCTTTGTAAACAAATCTGCTAGTGACAATGAGAAGGCACATGAGCCGTGAGCAACTCCTTCCGTTGAATGCGTTCACGAACAAAATGGCAATCTATCTCAATATGTTTTGTGCGCGCATGAAACACAGGATTATTGGCAATGTGTAAGGCAGCGTGGTTATCACAAAACAATGTCATTGGCTTCAAGTGATATATCCCAAGATCATAAAGCAAGGACTTTAACCAAGTGAGCTCACTGACAGTTGATGCCATGGCCCTATACTCAGCTTCAGCGGAGGAGTGCGAGACAATTGATTGCTTTTTCGACTGCCAAGAAACAGGGGAGTGTCCGAGACAAATATAGTAACCTGTTGTTGAGCGCCGTGTTCGTGGGCAACTAGCCCAGTCTGCATCACAATAAGCAACAAGATGTGGATGACTGGAAGAGGAGAGTAATATCCCTTGTCCCGGTGAGTTCTTAACATAACGTAACACTTTCATTGCTGCATCAAAGTGTTCCCGTTTGGGTTCCTCCATGAATTGTGCCAAGATTCCAACAGAATAGCATATGTCTGGTCGTGTTATTGTCAAGTAAAGGAGCCGACCGACTAGCCTCCTGTATTGTGAAGGATCTGGTATAGGTGAACCAGATGCAAGCCCGAGACGATGATGCTGCTCCATGGGAAAGGAACTAGGCTTTGCCCCAAGCATGCCTGATTTCGTGAGTATGTCAAGAGCATACTTTCGCTGGCTCAGAACTATCCCTTTTGTTGTTCTAGCTACCTCAATTCCAAGAAAATATTTTAAGGGACCCAAATCCTTTATAGAAAATGCAGAATAAAGATAGTGTTTTAAGGTTGCAATTCTAGCTCCATCATTGCCGGTGATGACAATATCATCAACATAAATTAATACTACAACAAAACTATCAGCAATAGCCAATGTGAATAAGGAATAATCTGCCTTTGATTGCTTGAACCCAACTGCTTCAAGAGAGGTTGTGAACTTTTCAAACCAATTCCTAGATGCTTGTCGTAGTCCGTAAAGTGATTTCTGCAACCTACAAACTTTGTTGCTCTGGTTGCAAGTAAAACCTTGTGGCATTTTCATATATACCTCTTCATGTAAGTCACCTTGCAAGAAAGCATTATTGACATCTAATTGATGCAGTTCCCAGTGCTTAATCGAAGCAAGAGC